ACCACTTAGAATGGATGACATGCGAGCATCCAAAATCACAAGGTGGAATCAAAATTAATTTCAATTAGCATAAAATATTAAAAATACAAAATAGAATCACTATTAGTCTAAATGTTAGATAATGTTGAGGCCAAAATCTAGCTCAAGTTGGAAGAGTGAAATTTTATCGATCATTGACCTGGTTCGAGTCTATTTGAGAGGATAAGAGTGAACTGTTGAGAGAGAGAGTGAGCTCTCTTTATGAAGTGTAAGTATTTGTTGACATCGAAAATTGTAAGAACTAAATTCAAGTCAACTTCTAATGTAAAATATGGATTTTTATTGATAATTGCTTATGAATTACCGTTTCTTCTACCAAAAGATCCTTTTTTTTAATGAAGTTCTTGGGCCCCTTTTTATTAGAAAAATGGGCCCGTATATTTCTTATTCATGCCTTGTCAACAATAGTCCCGAGCTGGGAATCCGTGCCATGGCCTAAGCCCTGGTTGGTTGTTATCAAATCATCATATAGTACCGAATTGAGAAAGTACGTCAATGTCATGTTTCTACTGGTTACTGAGGTCGGTTCCATCAAACAATTATGAAGCCGACCTTAAATGAGGTCCCTAGTAATTAATGAATTGATTAGAGAACGAAGTTTTAACATATGATTGGTGGGTTCTGACGTAATTCCTTCTGAATGTCATTAATTGATTGAATATCTTGGCAATGTGTAAGGAATCTAAAATCATGATGTCCTCACAAACTACGACAATCAAAAGTAAGAGCCGACCTTGCAGATCCGACCTCAATTTATCATGAACTAAGTGCATATAATAAACGATCTTGATTAGATTGTCAGGTCGGATGTCAACAGTACAAAAACTAGTTAATTAAACATTTTGTCTCAATTATTTATGTTAGCTAGAATACGCAATCAGTCAAAACGTGGTAAACACCTAAAGGAAACATCAGCGGGCCCCATGCCACGGGGTAAAATAATCAACTATCAACGAATAAAAAATCCAATAGTTTCGATTTTGTAATTCGTTAAACAATCAAAAGCAAGTAAAGAACAACCTCTTCGTTTTCTTTCTTTTGTTGACTTATTGGGGAAGTGGAATCAAACCCTTTAGTTTTGATTTTATCGCCACTTTACTATTGTATTCGGCCGCAATCATTTCTTAGATTAAGATTTGCCAATCTTAACTCACACCACATAGCATGATCTTTGAGTAGGATTATATCATTCACGTTCGGGTGTGTTATCTTCAATTACTTTGAAGAATATGATTTTTGTTTTGAGATACTTTAATAGAATATCAGTCGGTCAGAACTCACTGAAAATGGTCAGAAAATTTTAGAACTTGTTGTTGCAGGTTCGTCGGACATATGCAATTTTTTCTCAAAGTATTCGAATGTCCCTTATGATTTTCTCTACTCATGTAGAGACTCCTGTAAAGCACAAAGGTGTCTTACCTCAAATATGAAAGTTTTGCACGATAAGAATAATGTAGAATATATTTGACATGATCAATAATTAAATTAAGGAAAGTTTTAATTTGTTAAAATAATCTTTCATTCTTTTAATTATTTGACCAATCAAACCATTAAGAAAAATTTTGATTTGTTAAAACATTATTTCATTCTTTTAATTATTTGACCAATCAAACTTGCTCAAGATGGCAAGTATGTTCATGTATATGCTGTTATAAAGTAAGTAAATATTGCACCTCGTTCAAGGTTTGGAACCCCAAAAAAACGCGGCCAAGAATCTATTAACATGTGGCACACGGTCAATCCTGATTAGTTGGTTTACCTAGTTTGGTCTGTATCAATTAAACACGTTTTTTGTACATGTTTTGACATTTAAAAATAATTCTAATTTTTGCAAGCCAATAAATAATAAATAATAAGTAAAAATATAAAATATATTTTATTTACATGAAGTATGGATGAATAATTTTCCACAGATTTAGTCTAAATATAATCATCCTGATGTCTTATGTTGTAGTGCTATTTTTGTTGAGTTCGGTATTAATTCTTTCTAAGTCCAACTTTATAATAAAATGATGCGATAACAATAAAAGTGAGTGAAATGTTAGGGACCATTTGCGCACTAAGACCATACGTTAGGGATCGCCATTTTTTCTATTTCACTATTATAAAAAGATTTGCTGCGTTTTTTGAAAAGAATTATTCTTCTTGGCTGGCACCCCGTTTTTGGGCTGGGCTTTGAGCCTGGCCTAATAGCGGATTGTTTTGAAAATTACTGAAATCTACTCCTAAGGTTTGTTGATGTGTCGATTAATTAAAGCCTGTATTTGAGTTACATTAAAATTTTTATTCTCATTATTTTGCTCATCTTCAACCACACATTCTTTAATAAAATAATATTTTTCATCACATCAACAATTTTTCCTTCATTTTTAAACCACACATTATCCATCAATAATTTACTATTCAATAATACATTCTTTCAAAAGAATGTTTTTCAATCACACATCATTCAATGAAATAATATTTTATATCACATCAATAACTTTTTTTTTTCCAACCACACATTCTCCATCAATCTACTATTTCAAAATACATTCTTCCAAAATAATGTGGCTCAAACAGACTCAAAGGTGCAAAAATTTTACCATAGAATAAATTAAAGAGAGATATTTTTATATATTTGACTTATCGAAATATTTGTTATATTTTTTAAAATTACTGAAATCTCCCTTGTCTACAACAAATTCTCCCCATAAGTCAACAACAAATTTGCATTTTCTAGTTTACCCTTTTTATAGGCATCATCAACACTACCATTAGAATACATCTAATTAGCAATATTTTTATAACATTCGTATATTTAGCCCTTGTTTGGTTTGGATTAAAATTCAATTAATATTTCGAGTCAAAGTCAACAATTAATTTTAACAACACATTTCATGGGATTCACAAATTTTCAACTACATATTTCATCAACTTTTATCAAAATCTACTAAAAATCTGATTTTAATCTCTACCACACATGACCTTATTATCTTAGGTTAAATTTAGAAACTTTAAATTCCTCTAATCATAATATCAAGACTATAATAAAGTTAGCATTAATGTCAAAAAACAATGAGTAAGCAGTAAATAAGGCTCAATGTTAATTTTCTATTCTTTTTCTAGTCTATGTTTAATTTGGATTAAATTTGTTGTTTTTCTAGAAATAAAAAAGTGAATTTTCAAAAATATTATTGAGTTGTAACCATTTGTACAAAAAGGAAAAAAATGAACTTTTTTCAAGCTAAAAGGAAAAAAAAATTTATTATCTAAATTAAAATTATGAAAAAAATAAAAAAGAGGGTTTCAAATCTAACATAAACATTAGGATAAAATACTAATATGTAGGTAATTTATTCTTATAGTTATTGTTAAAACAGGAAAAATAAGAATTTTTTTTTTTGGAAATACAATAAAGTATACAATCAACCAGTCTGAATCAATTAGGCAAGTAGTAAAAAAATAAGTTTTTATTTGTCTTTTCAAAGCATTTATTTATTTCTTTTGTTGGATTTGTATATATTAATATATATATTTTTTGTTTTGGCTACAGTGTTCATACTTTTGTACCTGGTGTCTGGTGAGTGTCAGATATTAATGGATGAATGATATTTATAGGATGGAGAACTTGATGAGCCACTCGAATAAAGTGGTCCCTTTTTTCATTTTCATCATCATATTAGTTGTCATACTGACTGACTAGTTTTGCTCAATTGTGGGCACAGCCCCACCTCTCTCTCTCAGTCAGTGTGTGCAGTTGCTACTTTTCTTGTGGGATGTTGATTTTTAGATAAGCCATCAACCTCATTCAAGAATTACTCTCACCCCATTTCATTACATTCTCCATTGGCTGTAAATTTTAATACGTCGATGCATTAGTTCTTGTTCTTGAATGGAAAGACGTCATCAAGTACTCTACGAGTAATCTTTGAAATGGACAAAGGACGGTTAAATGGGAAAATTTAGTTGGCGGAAAGCTAAGCGAAGATGATATATCTGAACAAACTTATTTGTCGTTATTAGGCTTATGGGATTTCCTCGTTGTTCCTGCTTTACTTATTCATTTATTAACTTAGACTATGATTTGCCAATTCTTATCAGTAATCTTATCTGCACAGTATATTCTTCACTTTGTATGCGCTTAGCACAATCTTTAATTAACTGAAAAACTGTTGATTTCCAATTTTTTCTTTAAAAAAGTGAGAATGTTCTCTTAAACATGAACGTTAGTAATCTTCTTTCTGACCCAACACTCCAAATCTCGTGTCTTAGGCATGTAAAGTCTGTACTTTCACATGAACAGGCATAGCCATGGAGTTTTACTTTTTACTGTGTCTGTGTCTGTGTCATAACTCAGCAGCGGAAAAGGTAGCATCACTATCGGACTGTAAAAGTTAGGTATGATTCATCTTTCAAGTGGGCCTTTGCTGTAAAAACATGTGCTATCGAAGATTGAAAATATGTAGAATTTGAGAATTATGGCAATTTGAATGCTTCTTTCATCCATTTTGCTATTATGGGTCTTTCTTTGTATGGCACTCATGGTAGTCTCTTTCATATTTCACATTCTTATGCAGTCATTATTACCATCATAGTGAATTCACCCCACCAATTATACTTGTCAATTTATGTTCCTCGCTGCCATTTATTACATTTTTTCTTTAGTTATGTTATTCATTATGTTTGATTTTGTAGTTTTCAGATATTTCTCATGGACTGAATAAATTTATTGCCTTTTTCTTCATCAATAGGGTCAGCATTTCACACGAATCCAATTCTTGAATTTGAGGCAGATTACAATCGAATTCATCAACATTTCCCTTGCTTCGCTCTTTCAGTAATATTTATTGCAAATTGTCTAATAAATTTCAGTTGTCCATATTTTGAGTCTTTTTGCCCTACTCTTTAGCTTTCCCTCTTTGGAGGCTTTTCCCATAAAACATACAGATCTGAAAATACACAATTGATAGAAAAGCTCGATGCCAACCAGTGAGTCAAGCACCTCTGTGTGGAGTAGAGAGCAGGATAGGCAATTTGAGAAAGCATTAGCAACTCATCCTGAGGATTCTTCAGATAGATGGGAGAAAATTTCTGCTGATGTTCCAGGAAAATCTCTGGAAGAGGTTAAACATCACTATGAACTTTTAATGGACGATGTCGGCCAGATTGAGTCTGGCTGCATACCTTTGCCTTGTTATCATTCTTCTTCAGACGGTGGAACAAGGTATGCTAGTGATGAAGGAGCTGATAAGAAAGGTGGGAATTTTGTGCACTTAAATGGCGATTCCGGTCATGGAGGCAAGGCTTCGAGGTCAGATCAGGAGCGGCGCAAGGGGATTGCTTGGACAGAAGATGAACACAGGTGAAGTTTTCTGGTATTTACTAGTTTTAATCTAAAAGTTCGCCCCAACGTGGACATATAAATAGAACATGCTCATTCCTGGTTAGTGCAATTTTTCTGATAAATGGGGTCTAAATATAGTTTTGATAACGTGAAATTATTTTGAAGTTAGTTACTTTTTGTCGACAGTGTTAAATCCATTTTGTGCTTTTTCTGTTTTTACTGTTATGAGAAATTTATGTTCCTGTTTGTTTACTGGGACATGCCATCGTCATTTTTCGCTTGTGGTTGACGATTGAATTATTATTCCAGATCATTTCTTCTATCAGATGGCAAAATAGATAATTTTTACTAACATGGAGGTTGTATAGTTCCAGTTGCCATGTACATGATAAAATAAAACTTGACATAATGACACATGTCCTCGGAAAATATACCCTGCATATCCTTAAAAGTTCTTCCTTACGTGCTTCTTTCCATAATCGTGCCTGTAAAGAAGCAAAGCCCGTGAACTATCCTTTGGAAACTCTCTGAGTTTTTCTTTTCCTGTCTGCAATTTATATTGAGTTTTCAGCCTTGCAGACAACTGGATTAAGATTGGTGGGGGAGTCATCCTTGAAAATTTAAGCGCCTATTTCTGTTTAAGATCAACCTTCATTCTACGTAAATTAAATTAAGGTTTCTTCCAGCAAAAATTGATTGGGAATCCTCGGAAGAACTTTTTTTTATCCCCAATATAAATTCCATATTCATCTCGGTTGATTGGAGAGAAATCAGAACTCTAGTAGGCTTCGTAAGAGTTTTTCTCATAATTTTAGTGAGTCGTCATGAGAAGTTGGCACTTCAATAAACAAGAAGTTGGAAAATGAAATGACTATGTTCATTAGATGATTAAGGTTGCTTCTATTAAAAATAAGTTTAGATAGAACAGAGTGAGATGTTCTGTGTAAATTGTGGAACTAGTACTAACGTGAACCAAGAGGTAGAGAGGTACGCCAAAAATCAAATGTCAATACCTGTTCATCTATAAGGTTGTGAGTTTCTGTGGTTTGAGTCTTTAGATTACCTTTTATGGAAAGAAGAGGATTCATGTGCTGCATCCACAGTTTGGCTCAGCTTACTGCTTCAATGTCAGACCCATATCAACTAGACAGGGAGAGGGGTAGTATTTGTATATTAGCATGTGTAGAATAGGAAGTACCTTTTAGTATGGAGGATAGGTTATGTATTTATGGGATAAGAAACCTTGAGTTCAGCTAGGGCCTAGAAGAATATTCATGAGAGGGAATCTTGTTAGAATGTGTAGAAATGGAAATGAAATCCCTATGAGTTTACAAGAAAATGCCACGATCTTCTTGTGATTGAACATATTTTGGTATCACTTGGCAATTTCCATAAAGGTTAAGGAGTTCAAGATTGAGTAGGAACAGGAACCAAGTAGCCGAACCCCTTTTGAGGCCGAACTGTTTCTGCTTTTTGGTCTACTAAGGTCATCAAATATGATCTCATCTGAGTTTTGTTATTCCCAGAAAGACGTCAGCCACTAAGTTTAGGAGTATGCTGCTGTCAATTTGTTACACTTATGGATATGGTAACTTGCTAATTCCACAAGAGCTAATCTTGGTTTACTGTATTTTTCTGCGCCTGGATGAAAGTTGCATATATTTGCGACTTTTTTGACTTGTCTTCGTAGCTAGTTCTCTACTGAGCTCCATTTTATGATAGAGGACATGTTGAAGAATTTAAGTTCCAAGCATTTCACGGTGCTTCCAGTATAAAAGTAGCTTTACATTAATTCATTGAACATAACAGGGGAAGACAGTATAGTAATAAATATTTCCATCATTGGTGTCGTGCTAATAGTCAGTCTTTCAAGTCTTACTCAACTAAAAAAAAAAGCTTCCATTTCAATCTACCATAGAACTAAGAATGTTTTTTTAATAAAGCACAATCATAATCCCGGTGTATTTTTTGGGCTCTACCAAGATAGGATGAAGAGGACTAGGATTCCCCTACCACGATATAAGTGAAACATAAATGAATACAATAGATGGACATAAATTTGACCTCCAATCAAATGCATGAAAGACGAAAGTAGTAAATCAGGAGGTACTAACTCCTGTATAAATATGAATTTAAAGAAACAAAAAACCTAAGGACTCCTGAATGTGAGAAGGCCATATTTGTCAATCTATACAAAAGAAAGATGGTAGTTGGTGTTTCTGTGTTGACTACCGCGCCCTTAATAGAATTACTGTTCCTGACCGGTTTCCTATACCAGTAATTGACGAGTTGTTGGATGAACTATACGGTGCCAGAGTATTTTCAATGCTGGATCTTAAGTCTGGATATCATCAAATTCGAGTGAGGCCTGAAGAAATTCCAAAGACGGCATTTCGAACTCATGAAGGTCATTACGAATTTCTCGTGATGCCTTTCGGGTTGACCAATGCCCCCACAACTTTTCAACATTGTATGAATGAAGTGTTTAGGCCGTATCTGAGGAAGTTTGTGCTCGTCTTCTTTGATGATATATTGGTGTATAGTGAGACTTTGGAAGAACATCAGAGTCACTTAAGTATAGTTTTGGGGTGTTTGCAAGAAAATCAGTTCTATGCTAACCAAAAGAAATGCTCGTTTGGCCAAAAGCAGTTGGAATATCTCGGCCACATTATCTCCAAAAAGGGTGTAGCGGCAGATCAGTCTAAAATTGAAGCCATGGTCAAGTGGCCTGTACCACGTTCTTTTCGGGAACTCCGTGGTTTTCTTGGGCTTACCGGTTGTTATCGGCGTTTCGTAGCAGGATATGCTAATATTGCGTGGCCATTGACGGAGTTGTTAAAAAAGGATGGGTTTAACTGGAGTGAAGGGGCAGAAGAAGCTTTCCAGCGACTCAAAATCACCATGATAGAGGTTCTAGTCCTGGTTTTACTGGACTTCTCACAGGAATTTGTGGTGGAAACTGATGCTTCCGGATACGGGTTGGGTGCTGTTTTGATGCAAAATCAACATCCCATCTCCTACTTCAATCAAGTATTGCCACAGAGTGCACGACGAAAGTCTGTATACGAGAGGGAATTAATGGCCATTGTGTTTGCACTGCAAAAATGGCGCCACTACTTATTGGGTCGACATTTTATTGTGCGGACTGATCAGAAGAGACTGAAATTCTTGCTTGAGTAGCGGATTGTGAGAGAGGAACACCAAAAATGGCTGACTAAACTGCTGGGGTTTGATTTCCAATACAATATCGTCCTGGACTTGAGAATAAGGCAGCTGACGCCCTTTCCAGAATCGAGCCAACTTTGCACGGTTTATCTCTCTCAGTTCCTACAACTGTATAGTCGAAGGAAATCATGAAAGCAGTCACCGAGGACGAGGAACTAAGTAAAGTAGTGATTGAACTACAATCTGCAACGGCAACCAAGACAGGGTATTCATTGTCTGGGTAAGTTCTCTTATTTCACGGGAAGGTCGTTCTACCCCGAACCTCTCCTTTGGTAAATATGGTTCTCCAGGAAGGTCATGACTCTAAGGTGGGGGCCATTCGGGTTTCCTTAAAACCTACAGGCGGGTTAGTCGTGATGTGTATTGGCAGGGCATAAAGAAAGATATCAGGGAATATGTGTCTCGTTGCTCAGTGTGTCAACAAAACAAATACTTAGCTCTCTCACCTGGGGGACTGTTGCAGCCGTTGCCTATTCCTACACTCATTTGGTTTGATATCTCCATGGATTTTATCGTAAGGTTGCCTCGGTCTGGGGGTTGGGATACAATTCTGGTGGTGGTTGATAGACTAAGTATGCGCATTTTATTGGTCTAAAACATCCATTCACGGCTCCTATGGTGGCTGCGATTTTTATTCGGGAGGTTGTCCGGTTACATGGTATGCCCCACTCTATTGTCTCTGATCAAGATCGGATATTTATGAGCAGATTTTAGGCTGAACTTTTTAGGGCACGAGGTACTGCCCTCAATTACAGTACGGCGTACCACTCGCAGACCGAGGGGCAAACGGAGGTGGTGAATGGATGTTTAGAAACATATTTGAGATGTTTTGATTCTGGCAGACAGCGAGGGTGGTATCAATGGCTACCATAGGCTAAGTTTTAGTATAACACATCATTCCACTCCTCAACCAAGCATACTCCTTTTCAGATTGTTTATGGGCGTGACCCACCTCCTATTTTACCCTTCGAGAAGGGGATTACTGCTATCTCAACTGTGGAACAAATGCTGCAGGATAGGGATGAAGTGCTAGTAGAACTGAAGTTGCAGCTTTCACGCGCACAATTGCGGATGAAGCAGCGGGCTAATTCACACCGTCGCGAGGTTCAATTTGATGTTGGGGATTTGGTATATCTCATGCTGAGACCCTATCGCTAGAAATCTATGGCTAAACGGCTGACTAAGAAGTTGTCTCCACGCTACTATGGTCCATTCGAGGTGGAGTCGAAGGTGGGCAATGTAGCTTATAGATTGAAGCTCCCTACTTCGGCAAATGTACATCCTGTGTTCCATGTTTCGCAACTACGAAAGGTAATTGGGAATGCTCAACCAACAACTCATCTGCCACCCCCATCTATTGGATGTTGGAGAGTCCATTTTTGAACCGGAACAGGTATTGGGGATCAAACCTCAGATTGGATTTTCTACTAAGAGGACAGAGGTGCTAATCAAATGGAGGGATCGTCCTGACCATGAATCTTCTTGGGAGCAACTGGAAGTGAGTTTCCCGACTTCCACATTTTGAAGGGGGGGTAATTATAGACCTCTTATCATATTCACACACACGAGGAGAAAGAAAGAAAGTGGTGCAGTCACTAGGGCAAGTGCAGGAGCTGTGGCAGGGAATCAAATTTAGTTTGATATTGTTATCAGTTAGTTACTAGGGGTATTTTGGGGAATTGAAGGAGTGAGGAAGAGTCAATAAATGTGAGAGTGGGGGGAAGGGGATAGGCATTCACGTTTTGGTTGAGTCTAGGGGGAGAGTCCAGGCCTCTCAAATGCCTTAGAGCTATTCCCTTCTTTGTAGTTTGTAGTGTCTGTTTTTGCATTCAATATAAATAATCTTCTTCAATACATCTCATTTCGTTTCAGCAACACCAATTTCTGCAGAATTCTTCTTAAACCATTTTCAGGAACTTATCAATAGACCACAGACCTCCACCATGGTTACGGATAGGTAGGAGTCTGCCTCTATCCACAAGTCCGAAAGTTTAAGTTGGCGTGCAAGAAGTATCCCACCAAGAATGGCTGTCAACTCAACCTCAAGTATAAGGCAGTCATAGAAAGATGAGAGAAGGCACCAATGCCAAGTTGTTCTCGAATGATAGCCCCACTACTAACAAAGTCATTGTGACACAAGTCTTGTAAGACAATAAAACTATTTGTACAAAATTGAGTTACAAAAGTTGGGTTACAAAGTGTGTTGGAAAAATCCAGACCGTTGATTTCAAATGATTTAAAAATCTGTTTTTAAAATGATTGGTGTAGATGTTATTTTGTCAACCAACTTTGTAACCCAACTTTGTACATATGGCATAACTCGGGGAAATAACAGGGATGGAGGTGACATGNATGTTATTTTGCCAACCAACTTTGTAACCCAATTTTGTACATGTAGCATAACTCATAAATCACAGCAGTAGAGTATGCTAGAAAACCAAAATAGGAGGGGAGTTAGGGGAGGAATTGAGAATGTAATTTAAGAGGAAGTAAAAATAAAATGCCAGTAAGAAAGCCAAAAGGTGTATCTTCAAACTCCCAAAGTTCATAGATGCAATTTAATCCTGGAACTCTTTAAACCAATCCAGCAATGGTGCTTTCATAAAATGAAGAACTAGTCATTATACAGTATCTTATTGATTTTTCACAAAATAGTAGCGATTTGGTTTTGGAGTATAAAAGGAGTATAAAACCAAGGGTAGGCAAGAAAATATGTTTAGAGTTAGAATAACATGAATTTGTTAAGTTTAGAACTAACACTCGAGAAGTATATATATCAATAAAAGAAATAAGTTAACAGTTGAGCAGCTCTTCCATCATTCTGAAACTGAATTACGGTTCCTAGTTTTTACAGAAAAACTGAAATATCGTACTCTTGACTATATCCAATTATTAGTAAATGACTACTTGTGAACTCTTGAAATCAATTGCACATTTCAAAAATTAACCTGAATTTTGCAAGTTCGTAAACATAATTACTAAGCTAAACTAGCAAATAAACATAGAACTGACATAGCAGTTCGTAAACTATGTTAATGTAAACGTTAAAACTCATAATAGAAGAATAAAATGACACCAAATATGTCTAGAAACTTAGAAGAAGCTTTGCCATGTATTTGTTGAAGTTGCTAAGAGATTTTCTTCTTAATTTTAAGAGAGTTTAAACTTGGCCAGACTGAAAAAAGTAGGCGTGGCTTGAATTTTGACACAAATATGATTAGAGATTTTAAGCATTGTACTTTTCTTCATTATCCAGTCACTTGATTTGACAGATAAAAGCTGGGGCTTAATTTGCTAATTACCAGGTAGAGAAGTGATGTGCGAGTCTTTGCGTGTTTTCTTTCCCCTTTTCATTTTCTTTGCCTTGTCTTGTCTTGGCTTGAAGTTACCGATCTAGCTAACCAGGGAGATATGCAAGGGAAATGGCATATCTCCATATGCCATTCTGTTTGTGATAGACTCATAGACACACTGAGATGAGATCAATCTTTTTTTTTCTTTTGAAAACGTAGGCGCTTGACTCTCTGAAGGTGCAGAAATGTTAATTCGGTCTTTTTTAGAATGTAAGGCAATAAAAAATTCCAACATAGAACTTCAAATGGGAACTTATTATAAGTTGAAACTAAAAAATATCCTCTGATATACGTTAAATTTGAACTTCTATCTGACCTAACTCATGACCAATTATGGAAGCAAATCAGACAAAGAAATGGCTATCTTGGAAACTCTATTCAACATGCTTATGTGATTAAGACTTGACTCATCCAAAAGAGTACCAATGTCGCCCAACAAAAACATTTGACTTTAAAGTAACTAATTATATAAAGCCAAGATGTCAAAAGTTCAGAATTTTCAAAATCTTCTTATTATCCTCATTTTCAATGCTTGGATGACCAACTTAAGTTGTATATGTCATTCTAATTTGTACGTGTGTTGATTTTTCACTTGATCAGACGTTAAACTTCCCTCTTTAATAACTTGCCACTTGGTGGAGATTTTTAATCAATAGGAGTAATTATTATACCAGGGTTAAAATAATTGATGAACCAGGACAGTTACACGTGCAATACATCTCATATCTTCGTATAAACAATCCAAGATTGTAAATCTGCATATTGACGAGTCTTTGCCATGTTCCTTTCGTATCCATTGGCTGTTCACAAGCAAGCAATGTCAACACCATGTATCAATGCGTGTGTAGAATAGCAGGAAAAAAAGCATAGGTTTTGGGGGTAATTTTATTAAATCTGTGTGCTTTTTCCTTTATGGCTTCTTTATATGCTAATGTAGAAGAGGCGCGTGCCTGTGCAAAAATAATATGGTAAACAAGGAGAGAGTAAAGATTTTTGGTTGTTGCCAAGTAGTATACGGAATACTGCTGTCAGGAGGTTTCTATAAAACAAGAAGCCATGTGATGAATCCTATCATCAAGGATATTAATTTGGAGTGAATCGAAGAGAACACTACACAAAACTTAAAACAATTGTTGGGACATTGGTTGTGTAGAATTCACACACTCCTGACACCATCGAACCATGGTGAAACATTGCTCTGATGAAAGATAGCAATCCATTTAATAGGGACTGAGTTTTTTATTTTTTTTCATAATTCTGTTTTTGCCGAGACATAATAAAAATAAGCCCAACATAATTGAGGTTGACTTAAGTATCACGTTTTGTTGCTTTACTGATACATGTTATATCTACTGAAAGGTTCGTGAGAATCATATCTATTGCAGCGACATCAGACCATTTTAATTTTGGTCTACCCCTTCCTCTTCTACTGTGATAACACTACTCTTGCAAATGGGAAGCTTATTTACATCTATGCAAGATAATATTCTAACTACAAAGATAGCAGTGTGGAAACTATGCTTCGCTTACAGATTACATATTGTTGATGATGTTGTTCTTTGTTAAATAAATAACCTTTTAGACTTTCCTTTGCTTCTCTTTGGTTCTTCAGAGCATAATGCATAAAAAAATAAACATGTTTGATAGCATTCTACAGAATGTTTTACATTAATGCTGCTTGTATTGGTTTTTTGTTTTTGTCTCTGATTTTGCATTAGCTCCATCCTTGAGTGTGACATTTTCCTTGTTTAATAGAGATGTATTTTCATTTGTGGGTTGGAAAACAGATTGTTTCTTCTTGGTTTGGATAAATATGGAAAAGGTGATTGGCGAAGCATTTCCCGGAACTTTGTTGTGACGAGAACTCCAACTCAAGTTGCCAGCCATGCACAGAAGTATTTCATCCGTTTGAACTCTATGAATAAAGATAGAAGACGATCAAGCATTCATGACATCACTAGTGTCAATGGTGGAGATGTTTCTTCGGTGCCTCAAGGTCCAATCACAGGTCAAATGAATGTTTCAGCCGCTGGAGGTTCATCCAGCCAATCAAACAAACCACCTCCTCAAGTCCCAGTTTGCCCCCCGGGAGTCAGCGTGTACGGGGCACCAACAATTGGACAGCCAATAGGACCACCCCTCCTTTCTGCTGTTGGCACTCCAGTGAATCTTACACCTCCAGGGCATATGGCGTATGGTGTTCGAGCTCCAATTCCTGGGCATATGGTTCCTGGTGCACCAATAAGCATGGGCTCTATTGCTTACCCGGTGCCACACACATCTACACATACGTGATCCGGGAATAGCAAGTACAAATAAATAATGAACCTTATTGGTCATGCCCATTTGTCGAGTAGGAATAATTGACTGTGTTTTACCAGAAAACTAAGCCATTACTTAAATTGCATGTATCAGTAGTATAGGCAATGAGGCAGCATTTTAGATTTTTGGAACCATTCTGATTTTAGACCATAGGAATTTTTAGACTTGCTAGTTAAGGTCAGTAAACTATACACATTATTATAGTGGACATTGTAAAGTACTTATTGTAAGTGTTATGCCCTAAATCCAATCAACTTTGGATATAAACACTTTGAATATATATATAATCAATGCATATGTATGGCAATATCTATTATTTAATTGAATTAATATTCTAATAAATTAAATAATAAAATTCATAGATTCAAGTTTTGGTGATTTGTTAATCACAAGGAGTTGTGATTGTGAGATACAAATTACATATAACTGAATCTTAAATCGTCCGTGGTCGAAGTAATAACGAGATACGGATATCGTTATTACGGATAGACTATCGCGTGTGGCATTCTTACTTGTGAAGTAAGTAGCTGATCTCACAAGTTAAAGTGTGGTGACACTTGAATGAACACGTGGATGTTTTGTTATAGAACAAAACATTGGAGACCCGCTGAGAGATTCCACATGGATAACTATCT